GTATGTTAAGGATAATGTTATGGTTCATAGCAAGAGCTTCGTCCGTATTTTTGGAGGGAAGCCACCCTCTCTACCTCTGTCCGACATTTTAGAGAAGCTGAAAGAGGCTCTAGCACAGGGGCCGGAGCCTCTAGTTGTTTCTAACGTTGTTCGCTTATTTATTTTGTTTGGTTTTTGCAATATTTTATTCGTAACGGCAAACTATCATGTCCCTATTTTTCTTCTGGGGTATGCTGATGATCTACATGTATCAGTTGTATGTAATTTACAGTGATTATCTGACCATGTTATGATTGATCTTATCCATAATTTTCATTGTGCATGAAGTTTTTTTGACATGATTAATTTATTAGATTGATTGCCCACGAATACTTTTTGTAACAACATATATACCAGCTTAACACTCATGCACATACCCCTATTTTTAGAGGGAGTGTTCCTACGGAGTTCCTTAATTGCCTCAATCGTCAGAGGATTGACTGCTATCGACCACATTGAAGGATACTTGTAGCTATACATATAATAGTTAACTAACCACCAATCGTACTTACAATATCGGTGTTTATACCACGAGAATATTGTTACATACGTGCACAACGGACATACCTCAATGCAGCCTTTATGTACCTGCAAAATGAAGTTATATGCTCCGCTGAAGCATATCTATACCCTGGTTATCTGTGGTTGGGAAATAGACCATGCTTGATTCAAAATATTTAATTGCTCTTGGTAACCAAGAATAAATTTATCATTATTGTGTTTCCGCGTATACGTCGAACTGTAAGTGAAGAAAAAGAACATATTTTTACTATGGATGGCTAAACAAGTCATACATGACATGGTTAAGTTATGTAGTTTGCTACTCATGCATCATTAATCCCATGGATTGATTTTTTTTTTTCAGACATATTATGTAATAATCTGAACTGTAGAACACACAACAACATTCGGTCCACAAAGGCTGAGAGAGGAAGTGCTCTCACCGAGTAAGCAAATTGGCCCTTATGTGTGGCAATGATTGAAATCACCTACACTTGAGGATACCTGATACTGCATAGATAATACCTAAGGAACCATTATTTATACCTCGCATGTCGGTGTTTGTACCCCTATTACATTCTCACGTACCTGCATAAAATAGTCACATACCCTAGGGTTGATATTTACGACTAATAATTATGGTCTTATATGCTTCCGTAAAGCGTTTATATGCTTTGGTAACCCGTGATTAGGGTAGGGCTGTTTGTGGTTTGAAATTTTTACTTTCTGACGGTATTCAAAGATGGGTTCATCATAATAGTCTTCTTGAGACACTCTGAATTGTCAGAATCAATAAACAATATGTATTTGTCATAGATAGTTAAACAAGTCATGCTTGACTTATTTAGATTGTATGATATATATGCATTATTATAGTTTAATGTTCACTTGTAGATGTCTAACCAAGTCATAAGTGACTAAGTTGAATAATGTTGATTGTTAAAGTACATGATTGCTGCCACAAATGGAAATTTTTTAGACTTATTACATATTAACCCATATTATGGCGCACACAATAATTTTCGGTCAGGGGCATCTAAGCATATGGTCTGACTCATGGCGCAGATGAGTACTCCAAATCGGATGTGTTATACCCCTAATCTGGCTTCGTATCCGAAATTCTACTAGGTGTACACCTACTACAGTGTTTCATGTAACTGAAAAATCTAATCTCATGACATTATTCTCTAACTTCATACCTTTATAGCTCTTGTTAATACTTGTGAGGATTTAGCATACGACCGAAAGTGACGTTTATATGTTAGTACCTACGCTACTATGCCAACGTGTTTTGATACACCAACTGAAAATGTTAATATAAAAATGAGTTGTGTGGCTCTGATATGTTGTCAGAAATCGTTGGCTTCAAGTATCATAGAAAAATGAGCACTATTTCGAACACGTTGTTTGTATCTATGTACGTCAATCTATTCTACCGTTCCCTTTAGTGTACTAATTACAATCAATTGTGTATAGGTCTAATGGATGCAATACAATGTGCTCCGATTCCTTCGTACAAATTACAATCAATTGTGTATAGGACAATAATACCAAAAAAATATCATTGTGCTTTGAGAGGGCAACTAAATACCCCCCTCCCCAAGATAACTCGTATGCCTCTGTTACGTTTCATGATACTTGTGTTATTGAATTTATCATACACAAAAAGAAAGTGGCAAATACCCTTTGTTTGTATTCATGTACCACAATACATCTAAATTACAAATGCGATTCTATGCAAATGTGGTCTTTATGTTGTATAATTAACTAAAATATTGCATTGTATCAAACACACCAAAAGTAATTACATTCTAAATGAGACGTCCTTGACAAAACCAAAAATTACAACTTTCGAAAGGAATATGACAACCAATCTTTATAGCTTTTTCTGTTGTGCCTGAGATGACCACAATGATAGCATTTTCGTGACTGCTTTATATGTTGGAAATATAACGTTGTTTCTTTAATCAACCATGTTACACAGACGAAACATGAGGATTAGTACATTGATTGGAACAATATAAAAACAAATTGATGAGAACCTCCCATCAAGCGGGCATATTCAACTCAGGAAATGAACTACATCTGCTTGAAGACGACACTCATGATCTTAGTTAATTTATGAAAATGAGTTATTATCCACACAATTTTCAATATCCACTTGCCTGAAAAACCAAATATTTGCAAATAGGATTTGAATATATTTCTAGATGGATATCTTTGAGAATTTGTTAAATGTGAGTAAACATCTTCGAGCAAAGCATCATAGTTTCCCACAAAATACTCTGATTTTACCTCTAATCGAAAATCTACTAATTCTAAATAGAGTTACTAACCTTAAAAAATTATGAGGTTCGTCGATTTGGGCACGGAGCGATGGGTGTTCAAGATAAAAAATCGGGGAATGAATGAGTGTCGAAGATCGAAAAAGCGTGAGTGACCACACGGTAGATTTGATTTTGTAGTCGTCGGTGTTTCTTCACCAATTTCGCGATTGGAAAATAACTGCAGAGATTTCATTTCGTTGGGTGAGGAAGAAGAGTGAAAAGGGAGTAAAAATCAAACAATATGGAAAAGGGGGAGTGCAGTCCAAATTTTATCAAATAGGGACTGAATTTAAATACTTTTGGACAAATAAGGATTTAAATCCAATTATACCTTTATTATATTTAATGGAAATATTTAAGAAGTTTTGACATTTTGTCATTTAACTTTATAGTATTTTGGTATAGTGTTTAATTATTTTACTGTTTAAAGGGATAATTTTGAATTGATGATAAAAAATGATAAAAAAATATACTTTGAACTAGGACGAAAAGAATATAAAAAATATAACATATACACAAATTAATTTAATTTATAATATATGACAGCGGTTACAGTACTTAACAAAACATAGATAGCTAGGAAATAGCACGGTAATGCCAGTAACAACATATTAATTATATTAATATAATACAAACATAACACATGAAGTAACAACACACAAATAGCTAGCAAACAACACACGGTAATATTAGTGACAACACTATCATTTATATTAATATAACACAAACACAACACATGAATTAACAATATATGATATAGTCTCACACAACACATGCAACAATTCATTTCAGCACATGACATACACTTGTACTGCACACATGTAATTATAAACAAACAACAAGTGTCATTATTACAAACAGCACGTGCTGTTTTAAATAAAAATTTGTGCTATTTTTTTATTTTATGGGTGCTGATTCTGTAACCTTCCCCATAATATATATATACTTTATCTATTAACAAAAAAATAAAAAATTAACATGTAATATTATTTTTTATATTATTAATACAATTTTACTTACTTTATCATTAAAAAAGAACAACAATTTAGGTTCTTATATCCTAGTTCGTGGGTTTGGATATTTTGATTTGGATTTTTAATAATAAAAAATTGAATTTGAATAGTTGTTTGATATTATATAAATAGGTATTAATGTGATATTTTGAATATAAAATTGATTTATAGTATAATACTCCATTGATCCCATTTAAAGTGCCCTTTTTACATTTTCGTCATTCTCATTTCAAGTATCTATTTCTTTTTTTTTTTTTTTTTAAAATAAAACTAATCATACAATAATACTAAAATACCTTATTGCACATACACTCACTTTTTACATAAAGTCAAAAAATAAAATTGTCAAATCTTCATACACACTTGCACAAACTAATACTACCTATGTCTAGTTCTAAAGGTCTTATTTACTTTTTGCGTGTTATATTTGAATATTAATTATTATATCAAAATATAAGACAAATTAAGAAAAAATTATAAAAATACTTTAATTAATTTCTTATAATACTAATAGAAGAACATTTATAAAAAAATTATACAAATATAAAAATATTTGTAATGTTAAATATAATGACACAAAAAATAAATGTGATTTTAGAGCCGAAAGAAAAGAGTAAAATATTATTATTTTTTTAATTATTACAAAACACCCCCTTCCCCGAAGAGCCCATTTTAAAAGGGGGCAGAGGGGTATAAAAAAAAATAATCGTTTAATATGAGTTCTAGAAAAAAAAAAAATTAAATAGTAAATATTTGTGTAAAATAATAAGAGAACACAACCTAAAATAGTCAGGGTGTGTTTGTTTGGGGTTTTCGATTTTGAGTTGGGATTTGAATAGTAAAAATTTTGAATTTGAATAGTTGTATGATGTGATATAAATAGGTGTTGATGTGATGTTTTGAATGTAAAATTAATTTTTAGTATAATATAAAAAATAAAAAATAGATGTTTGATTTGATATTAAAAAAAAAAAAAAAAGAGATAAAATAGTGTAAATCCAATCCAATCCCCAGACAAACACACACTAAAGTATACTGTCAAGAGTGGTATTGATGTAATATGATCTCATCCCCTGGGCTTTCTCTTTACCAATTCTTTATATATTAGATATAATAAATAAATAAATAAAAATCCATCTGAGGAATTTTCCTTTGGTTCAGATCAGTGAAGGATTTTGCTATGTTGCTCTCTATCTCTTAAAAGCTGTCTCCTGAACATAGTGAGACTGAATCTAGTGGAAATTTGGGATTGTTCAAACTCAAAAGGTCCGAGCTGTGATTTTTTTTTTTTTCCTTATGAATTTGGGATGATTTGTTTATCAATTGCTACACAATTCATTTCATTGTTGCATTCTAATTTACTGCTTCTTTCGAGGAATTTGAAGTTTGAACAACTGATTTAATTGCTTTCTTTCTTAGTTTTCAATCAAACTGGTTTCGGGACAGATCTTAGAGAGATTCGAAGATGAATTCTTTTTTGCTTGAATGGCACTCCCACTTTTGCTTCTTTTTCTATTTTTATTTTTTGCATTGGAGATTTCTGGTTTATTGTCTGTAATTTGTTTAAAATTAGGGTTCATTTACAAGGGTTTGGGTGTTTGGGGATTAATGAGTCATAATGATAAAAAAAAATTTGTTAGTTTTTTTGGGAATTTAGGTGGAATTTTGTTCTTTGCTTATGTTGGCTACTCCCACTTCCAATTTGTTTGGATGGTCCTTTTTTCTGATTGGTTTATTGATCTTTTAGGAGATTGCAATGCCTTGATCCTTTGTGTATGAAAGAAAAACCAACAAACAAACAAGCAAACAAGAAGTGTTTTATTATCAGGTGTCGGTGTAGTTCTTATGATGGAATTTGTTGATCACGATGTTTGTTTTGTTGTAGTTTGAAATAGAGTGTTAATTTTAGTTTTTGTTAAAATAATATTTCAACATAGTTTTGTGAGAGAAGATAGTGTATTTTTATTGGAAATCATGCTAGGAGAATAGTGTTGAGTTGAGTTTCATATGGCAACCAAACAATACTCACCTTTTAATTGTGTGGATGTATTTTGGAAATGGTTAAGTTATGTAGTTTTTGGATCAACTAAAGTTGAGCACACACACGATGTAGATGCAGTTGGGTAGTGTTTTGATGTTTATTGAGCTCATTCTCATGAGATATTGTTTTGCAATCATGGCGCTGTGGTCTCGATGAATCTATGATCTTTTTGGTTGTGATACTCTATGAAATGACGACAGCACAATTGGAAAGATACTTTTTCTTGCATATATCACTTTCGCTGTTTTAGCGGTTTAATTTGTTACCTTATTTGATGGTTGAATAAAATTTTTGGCCATTGTTGGTAGGGAGACCGGTTGATTCTTTTGTGCATAAGTCAATCAACCCGTTGAGTTAGAAAGCAAAGTTCAAAGTCATGTTGAATCCCGCCCCCCTCCCTGAGTTGTGATTGAACTTGTTGATTTTGGACATTTCCATGGAATTGGTGACTGTGGGATAGTCAAGTCAAGTCAATACAGACTTAGATTTAACAATGTGAATTTATTCGTATACATTGGCAGAGGGCCTGATGTGTTTTTTCTCATTTTTCGTTGGGAAGTTTTTGATCGATAGATAATCCTTGCGGTCTTTTGGCTTTCGATTGCAGCTTCTTTTGGGTTATACAGTGGCAGAGAAGGATGCAAACGTCGGGACATCATAGTAGACCGAGCATGGTGAATAAACGATTTTGTCAGTCTGTCCGGAAGTTGGAGGCCTACTCTCCTCAACTGTGCCAGACTCTGAACCCGTTTGGTAGCTGCAATAAAAGTAGCAATGGGTATGCATACCCGATCCATATCTCTCAAGATCAAGATCAAGATCGGTATTGCACACTCGAGTCATCCTTGTTGAGCACATACAACTCGCCCTCGACTGTCACTTTCTCACCGAATGAAAGCTCACTGTCCCATCAAGAATCTCAGTCAGGCGTCGCAGAGGGATCTCCAATTAGCGGGCTGGACTTAGCCGAAGATGTATGCGAGTTAAAGCATAAGTTGAAGGAGCTGGAGAGTGCAATGTTGGGGCCTGAACCAGATTCTGGTGAAAATTCCTTACCCTCAGCAGCTGTGGAGACGGAAACATGGAGACGGGCGATGATCCCTGTCCCACGAGGCGACTTGAAGCAAGTACTCGTTGCCTGTGCAATGGCAGTCTCGGACAACAATATATTAGGTGTGCAGTGGCTAATGTCCGAGCTGCGGCAGGTTGTCTCAGTTTCTGGCGAGCCGATCCAGCGATTGGGAGCTTACATGCTTGAAGGACTCGTTGCTCGGGTTAGTGCTTCCGGGAGTTCAATCTATAAATCTCTGAAGCTCCGTGAGCCTGCAGGCTTCGAGCTTTTATCGTATATGCACACGCTTTATGAGATATGCCCGTATCTCAAGTTTGGGTACATGGCTGCTAATGGTGCTATAGCAGAAGCGATGAAGGACGAAAGCGAAGTACATATAATCGATTTCCAAATAGGTCAAGGGAGCCAATGGATACCTCTCATCCAAGCATTCGCTGCTCGGCCAACCGGGCCGCCTCAAATCCGCATCACGGGCCTCGATGACTTCACCTCAGCATATGAGCGCGGTGGTGGATTGAGCATTGTCGGAAAAAGGCTCTCCAAGATTGCCGAGGCATTCAAAGTACCGTTCGAGTTTCATGCGGCAACTTTCTCCAACACAAGGTTTCATTCGACTGGGCTCGGGATCCGTCCTGGTGAGGCGGTTGCAGTGAACTTTGCCTTCGTACTGCACCGCGTTCCCGATGAGAGTGTGACGACAGACAACCGGCGGGATCATCTGCTGCGGGCAGTGAAGGGGCTGAGACCGAAGGTAGTGACGCTGGTGGAGCGAGAGCTGAATGCAAACACGGCGGCATTCTACCCGCGGTTCCGGGAGGCGCTGGAGTACTATGCGGCGGTGTTCGAGTCGATCGACGCGGCGCTGCCGAGGGGGGAGCGGGCGCGGATGGACGTGGAGCAGCATTGCCTGGCGAGAGAGGTGGTGAATGTGATAGCGTGCGAGGGGGCGGAGAGGGTGGAGAGGCACGAGCCGCTGGGGAAGTGGCGGTCGAGGCTGCGGATGGCAGGGTTCGAGCAGAGTCCCATGAGCTCCATGGTGAATGGGACCATCAGGGGCCTGTTGAGGGACAAGTACTGTGGCAAGTATAGAGTTGAGGAGAGGGATGGGGCTTTGTATCTTGGATGGTTGAATGCACATTTGGTAGCTTCTTCTGCCTGGAAATGATAATTAACTACATTATTGTAATATCTATCCATCTATCTATCTATCTATCTATCTGCATTCAATCCCACCTTACCACTTTTAGGTCGTAGCAAGCAAGCAAACTTCACTGGCAATGGCAATGGCAATGTAATTCTCTTGCATCACTATCATTATCATATCCATCAGTAGCAGCAAAGGATACAGATGGATAGATTGATTGACATAATGGAATATATATTACATTTCAAAGCAGCACAGCACATCACTAGAATCCATTAACAAGTTAAACCAACTGCATGAAGAAGAAAGAAGATGAAGGTCTGGTAAGATACTCTACTAAACTGAGGATGATGACGACGACGATGCCCGAGCAGTTGTGGAATTATCAGGGTTTGTAATGGATGGATCGCCATGTGTGTCCTTAGAATGGATCTCGTGGATTGGATTGGATGATGGCTCACTCTCATTACCATAGCCTCGGCTGGGAGCAATGCTTTGGTTTGCTGTGGCGGAGAGGGGCATGGGCATGGTGTGGTTGTGATCTCCTTCGTATGTTGTTACAACTATCTTTGGGTCATCAGAAGCTCTCTCCACAGTTTTCTTGACTATGCAGCCCGCATTTGAGCACCTATAATAGCTTCTGCACACCATAAGGGGATGCAGTTAGACACAGAGGAATGCCCTACTTCTTTCGACTTTGTGTTTTCTAATACAAGGATTTGGTTTATAAGTGGAGCTAAATTTAAGTATCTAACAATCGTATCTAATGAATGCAAACATTACTCGGAGAAAAAAAATGGCAGAAGACTATAAAGAATTTGTCTAACACGGAATCAACCTAGTACAGAATTTGAACAAAGATTCTCAATTAGGAACCATACACTCAAAAACCATAGTTGCTAATGGCACGTCAAGCAAGGCCTCTGCAACGCCATGGTGCACCAGCATGGCACACTATAAGTTTTACATACATAATACGCTTGCATATAAATCCATTAAATATATATATATATATCTATACATATAGTGAAAAGATGCCAATTCAAAGTACCTTTTTGCCAGAGGTTATACTGACCTCTTTTGAAGAAATACTTGGTCCCATAAATAGGGTGGATGGCTCATTGTAAATATTAGAATAAGTCATAGAAGAATTCAAATATCTTTTATTTGTATTTTTCAGCTCTATTTATATTGAGATCTTTTAAAGTTTGTTTACTATGCAACCGTCATTAGTAATATACTATTTCATTTCACAAAACATCATATCTAATACTATTTTAGCCTTAAAACAATACCAAGTAAACACACCCTACATTTCTAGCTTTTAGTTTTTAATACAAAGTTCTTTAATTCCTAGCAGAAATCTTCCTATTATGGAATTCTTATCTTCTCCAAATAGGGATATTCATTTTATGTTATAGGACAAAAAAAAAAACCTACTAATTTTCTAAAGATAATGGTTCAGTTGCTGGGACCTGAAACATCCCATACTTTTCAGCTATAACGATTTAACTTTCGACCACAAAAGTAAAATAAAATAAAAAACCATTCAAGCATCTGAATGTCAAAGTTAAATTAAAAGGTGCAATAGTCTTAAACAAAAGCAAACTCAGCATATTTCAAAAAACACTTATCATAAAAAAGTACACTACAAGGGAACAAAATAATATTGCCCAAGTTCCTAGTTAACAAATACTAATAAACCCTAATTAACCTTGATTAGAGTTTAGGTGCCTTGTGCCAGGGCCGTGCCTTTTGATAAACCTTAATAAATGACTAGCAATCAAACCGCACCTTTATGCCAGGAGATAGGTGCCTCAGCCGTGACTCACTATAAAACTGTGTCAGGATGTGCTCCTTTTATAACACTGCTCAAAATCTATTGCAATACTCGGAGCCGAATTTCTATTTTCCGCCCACTATTCTATTGAACTTATGGTGATGTGAAATTTCCAACTTTACTACCTATTCCTGATTTGTGACAATTTTCGGAAATCTTTTCTCAGAATCCCAATTCTGGATTATCCCATGTATGGTAGCTGTAAGGGATACATAGTGTATGAACAATCAATAAATATAATGAAAAAGCTCTAGTGCACATTTGAGCAAAAGGATTGTAATCCAGCCACCAAGTAATCCTCGTAGTTATTCCCATATCTTACAAAGTTGGCGTGAAAGCTAGCATGTCTAACACTACACCATTTTGGCATGCAAGCTTTATTTGATTCAAGAGAGGTCTAGATCAAGCCTGTTCAACTAAAGTTGGTATTAATTGAGAATTTATACTTCAAGTGCAATCATATCATCCAAAAAGGACTTCATTTGTACAAAACTCTGCAATTGGATGTATGTATGTGATTTTGATTTTCTTTTGCTAGTTTACATCCATAGGATGTGCAAGAAAGAGAAGCCTGATCCCTTTCATTTAAAAACCTAAGGAAAGATGATTTGATATTCATGTGCACACACATGTCCACATGCACAAATATATAAATATACATATATATATCTGTGTGTGTGCGTATGTGTGTACAGGCACACACGGCCACTCATGCGTGGAGGAAAATGAAGTTAAATATCTAAACAAAAAATTTAATTACCTAGGATTTGGATTGTTTTTGATAAATTTCTGCCCATATTTACGCCAGCGGTAACCATCTTCCACAATATCAACCTCGCTCAAAGTTTGAACCACATGACGTACATCACTACGAGGCTTTTTATCTTCTTCTAAGGAAATTGTTTCTGTCTTCCTGCATAGGCAATAGCTGGTCAATATAATAGTTAGCATGCTATAATTATTAAAGAGGAATGGACTAATGGTTTCCAGACGAGCATACCGTCGTTTAGAGTCTGGAATGCCATCCTTGCCATTATCAGCTGATGAACAGGATACTGTTACTGCTTCATCATCAAGCTTTGAGGCCACTATTTGCACTTGCACTGGCCAGAGATTCGTACCATCTTGTCCCAAGAGTGGTTCATCATCACCTAAGGATCATATAAGAAAAGGTCAATAATAGTATGAAGACCAAAATACTGCAGTAAGTTAATTTCATAATTACTTTTTGATGTAGATATGATAGTTATATCTGGCATCCGTTTAAAAGAAGATGCTGCCAGGCAATGCTCGGGTTTTGGATGTTGGTGCTTGCCAAAGTAGTGGACATAAGATTTGCACCCACCATCTGGTCTTTCGATTTGCTTCTTAGCTTGGCAATTGGGATAAGTGCATCTATAATAGCTTCGGATTGAATGGTTAGTCTTCACTACCTTCTGTCCATATTTTCTCCACCTGTAGCCCTCATCCAATCCCAATCCCTTCTCTGGTGATTGCAATGTAGTCCCAACAACAGATTGTGTCCCTTGAGCTATCGGGTCAGGGTTTCGCCTTGGCTGTAGTTTCTCCACTTTTTCGTTTCTTCTGGCATATGTAAAATTTGCTTGATCAGATTGAGCTGCAGGTTCACCCATCTTTAAACTAGACAATTGTAATGGATGTGCCATGTCTGCTACCCTTTCTATTGAAGTACATTTTTCCTCTATGCTATCTAATACACTATTTCCTGCATCTGAGCTCTGTGCCAGTGAAGTGTCAAGTTCAGGTTCTTTAGGTACAGTTTGCATTTTTTCATGTACACTCCATGGAATGGCCACCTGATCAAGTAGTGAACTCATGCCTCCAGCATCTGGGTTTCGCCTTGGATGCAACTTTTTCAGAGCCTTTTCAGGCATAGTGGAACAATCCGGCTTCTGTATGTCAGATTTTGATCTAGATGTGTCCACAAAACCTTGTATTGAATTTGAAGTGGATGGCACCCTATTCTTGTTTCCACATGTGTTTTGACGATCATTGGTTTCTGAAGTATGTAACCCTGAACGAGGCTTCTTTTTCATGTTCAAACTATCAGGTGCACCACTCTGAATTTTGGTTACATCTTCAGGTACTACTTCGTCAGACTTCAAGCTATGATCTTCAAAACCCAAGATCTTCCTCAGATGGGATTCTGAAGCTTTCTCATCTTTTAATAGGTGAGTGACTATTTGTGGACTAGATTCTACTGAAGAAACCTCAGGTTTTGAAATTTGCTTCTGCATCCTTATTTGTCGACATGTTATTGAGAATTCTGAATCCTTATCATTGGCTGGAGTCCTTACTTCTTCACAGGATTCTGAATCATCACTTTCAGCATCAAAGTTTTGTCTCTTCTGTAAATCGTAAGCGTTTTGTTTGGTTTCTGACAAAATATCCTTAATTTTTGAAGCATGGCTCCCACTCTCACTATCCTGTCTCTGCTGAAGCTCACTTGGTTCATTCTCATGCACTGTCTGCATTTCACTAGTTTCCTCACAAACAACAGGTGATCCAGCCTCCTTTTTCACTAGATTTTCGAATAGCTCATTGCAATTACAGGTTACCACTCTTGTATTTCCATCCATTAAGCTAATAACCACATATGGGATTTCCTAGCGCTGGACTGGTTTATGCTGCATCATGGTTTCCAAAAGATTTAAATTTAATAAAATATCATCATCCCTTTCAGTACAGGTGGAAGCAAAAAGAGAAGCAAATGCTTGGTAGACTGATGTAATTTGCTCCAAACTTACTAGAGAAAGATGAAAACAACAGAGATATGCTGATCATAACTTGGAAATAAAATAGAAATTATCAAAGAAAAAACTCATATTGGCTATTCCCAAGCACACACATCACAACCATATATTGAATTGATATATGCAGGTTTAGGTACTGTTAAACCATTTACTTTTCTAAAGACATGCCTGAAGAGGTAGAATCGAGTAAAATCATAGAAACATAAAATTGCAGGCATCATTTCCATTCTAGTATTCATCAATCAATCAGTAAAGTATATAACTTAAGACCCCATGCATACGGTTCAGCATTTTGTATGGATGTCGATTTATAAACAATCAGAAGCCAAAACAACCATACTTTGTGCTCATCCATTGGAGCTAAGAATCACCATAAGTATTGAAAATTCATCTAAGGCCACTTCAATTGATTTAGGGTTAAAAAGAAAAAATTATCTTGCAAAAAAATAAATAAATAAATAAGCCCTTCAACTCCACTTTCGAGTTTCTTCAAAGCAAATAAAACCCTAATCACCCGAAGAATCACTGTATGCATCCACAACGACTGGTACTGCAATAGAATTAGATTCTCTCACAAGAAACACAGTAAACCTCCAATTCTCTCTACTCGAAGACAAACAATTATACCCAGAAGTCATAAACTAAAACTACCTATAACTCAGTACCCTCGGCCGCACTACTCCACTCCAGTTTTAACTCAAACTCCTCCTGAACTTAGAAATAAACAGCCAAATCAAAGCTCCTATCTTCATTATACACTCGAGAAACCCAAACACAAATAAAATTTAGAACCCCAAAGCCCAAAAGGTACGAAAACTAAGGAGATTTCTTTCTACAAAATTACCAAAATATTGAGAATATGACTGCCAATTATAGCTTCCTCTTGCAAAGAGAGCGGAGGGACGGCGACTGCCGGCGGTCGTCGGTGGAGTATAATTTGGTCAGAAATCCGATGGCGAGGAAAGGGGATATGAACTTTGACTTAGACCCAGTGATAAAATATATTTAACGGAGAAAACTTGTACGACTTCGACCCAAAACTTGGGGGATAAAATGGTAACTTCCTAAATAACCCATGTCTAACGTTTCACGTATGCTTGTTTGGAGGGTTTTAAAAATGGTAAAAAAATCGATTTTGTTAGGAGATATATACGTAGTAACATGAAATAACTAGACAAAATATGTCTTCTTTTTATCTTCTTTAATTTCTATTGAATTTTTCTGTCTATAAATACTGCTGTAAAATATTTTATAAATAAATCAACTAGACAACATATATATCTGTTTTTCATCTTCTTTAATTTCTATTGAACTTTTCTGTCTATAAATACTATTGCAAAATATTTCACGAATCAATCAACTATCTGCATTCAATTTTCTTCTATTTATTTTAAACATTCTGTGTAAGTATTATTATTTTTATATATACATATTGTCTTATATATACTGATATATATATATATTAATATACACTCACAGCATATATATATATATACATATATTATATATTAACACACCCATATATATATATATATAAATATACTTACCAATATTATACTACCTTTGTCTCGTAAAAAAGGACAATATTTGTGTTTTGTGTCATCGTATTTAACGTTAAAAATATCCTTATATTTGTATAATTTACTTCACAAATGTCATTATATTTGTATTATAAGAGACTAGTAGAGATATTTTTTCATTTTCTTTTGATATGGACTACGTATTGATATAATAATTAATATTCAAAGATCAACATGCAAAAAGTTCATGGTATTCTTCTTATGAGACGGAGGCAGTATTATATAATTATTATATAACACGTTATCAGCACGAAAGCTCTTGCCTATTTTATTTTTGCTAAGTTTTATTTTTATACTATTTATATTATCTACATTATAAACTGTGAAATATCTTGAAAATTTTTCTTTTAAACCTATGTTTCTCATCGGCAATAATTTTTTGATTTGGTCCCTGAATGTAAAAATGCATCTGGTTTCTATGGGCCTTGTTCATACAATTGCCAGTGAAAATGCGACTACAAGTGAAGATCGGGGTAAGACTATTATTTTCATTCGTCACCATCTGGACATTCCTTTACCGTCCGAATATTTGACAGTGAAAGATCCACTTGATTTGTGGAATGAATTGAGGGAGATATTTGAGCACTTCAAATATATCACTCTCCCCAAAGCCCGACATGATTGGCTTAACCTGCGGTTGCAAGATTTTAAGACTGTTATAGAGTACAACTCTGTTATCCATCAGATTACATCTCAGTTGATCCTCTACGGCAAAATTGTTACTGAGAATGATAAATTGGAAAAGACTCTCTCTACCTTTCATGCTTCTAATGTTGTACTGCAACAACAGTATCGTGAGAAAACTTTCAAAGTACTCACAGCTCATTGCATGTCTTTTATTAGTTGAGCAAAATAATGAGTTATTGATGAAAAATCATCAGTCCCGGCCTGCTGGTTCCAGTCCATTCCCTAAGCGAACGTGACATTTTCTGAACGAGACCGAGGACATGGTAGAGGCCGTGGACGTGGTCGCGGCCGTGAGAGTCAACGCGGTTGATAAACCCCTTACAATCACTGCGGTTTTGACATTAACATAAAGCAGAGTAAACCCCAATATGGGGATATAGCCGAAAAGGCTAAACAAGGAAAGAGACAAATCGACATTTGTAATCGGTGTGGCAATGAAGGCAATTGGGCCAATACCTACAGAATAACCAAGCACTTAGTCGATCTTTATCAAGCCTCACTGCAGAAAAAAGGGAAGGAGGTCGAGATTAATCATGTTGATAATGATGATGACCCCGATGATGATCTTCTGGATTACGACACAACGCATCTTGATATAGCTGATTTTGTTGTAGATCCAGCAAACCCCCAGTGATAGATATATTATGTCATTTTACATTATGTTTTATAATATTTAAATTATTGCATATTACCTTTTTGTAATGTATTTTGTAATACTTATACCTACCTTTATTAATACTGCATTTATTTATATTTGAAAGTGATGCCAATCAAATGATGCAAATATGTGTTTCATTAAAAGTGCAACGACACATACTATATTAAAACACGAAAAATATGTATCCCATTTGAAAAGGGAAATGATTAATATCAATACAATAAATGACAGTGCAGAATTAATTAAAGGCTCTAGAGAAGCCATTATATTTCTCCCTGCGGTGACGAAAATTGTGATACAGTATGTATTGTTGGCCACTAAAGCTCGAAGAAATTTACTGAGCTTTCATGACATTCGGAAAAATGGTTATCACATTGAAATTATGAGTGATACTGATGGTGAATTTTTATTGATTACCAATACCATTGATAAAAAAAATGCATCATTGAGAGATTACCCTCACTCTCTACTGGTTTATATTATGCTAGATTAGGTGTTGTTGAAACACACCTCACGGTAGATCAAAAGACTACCGATTTTCAAATATGGCATGATCGCCTTGGATATCCTGACAGTATAATGATGAGGCAAATAATTGAGAATTTGCATGGCCATTCATTAAAAGGTAAAAAAGTGTTAAACTCAAATGAGTTAACTTGTGTTGCCTGCATTCAGGGAAAATTGATAACTAGGCCATCGTTAGCTAAAGTAGGTATTGAATCACCTATATTTTTGGAAAGAATACATGGAGATATATGTGGGCCATTTAAATATTTTATGGTACTTATTGATGTATCTACGAGATGGTCACATGTTTGTTTATTATCTACTCACAATGTGATATTTGCGAGATTATTTGCCCAAATTATTAAATTACGGGCACAATTGCCCGATAATCCAATTAAGATTATACGTCTGGTTAATGCAGGTGAATATACATCGAATGCATTTGATGATTATTGCATATCGATTGAAATTAATGTAGAGCACCCAGTTGCTCATATTTATATACAAAATGGCCTGGCAGAATCACTTATTAAAATATTGCAATTGATTTCTAGACCATTACTGATGAGGTCTATGATGCCCGTTTCAGCTTGGGAGCATACAATCTTACATGCAGGAACACTAATAAGAATGAAGCCGAAAAACTATCATAGCTATTCCCCTATGCAATAAGTATTTGGTCACGAACCAAATATATCTCATCTACGTAGTTTTGGGTGTGCTGTTTATGTTCCTATTCCACGCCCCAAACGTAGAAAAATGGATCATCAACGTAGATTGGGTATTTATGTCGGATATGAATCGTCGTCAATTATAAAATATCTTGAACCTATGACAGGTGATTTATTCACTGCAAGATTTGCAGATTGTCATTTTGACGAATCATATTTTCCGACATTAAAGGGAGATAGAAATGAACCGAAAATGAATATTAATTGGAAAATTCCATCGAATTTTTGTGATCCTCGTACAAAGTAGTGTGAACTAGAAGTTCAACACATTATACATTTGCAAAATATTGCAAATAAGTTACCGGATGCATTCAATGACTCAAGTAAAGTCACTCGATCGTATATTCAAGCTGCTACTGCTCCGGCTAAAATAATTGTCCCTGAAGGATAAATTGAAAGTGCTAATGAATCAGTGACACGCTTGATGCGTGGTAGACCACTTGGTTCCAAAGACAAACATCCTCGAAAGAAAAGAGAAATGAATTATGATAATCATAAAAATATCAAGAATGACATTGATAAACCTCAATCTAATGAGGAAGTAAACCCTGAAATAAATGCTTCAGAAGAGCATGATCTTGAAGAACATGATGAGATTATTGAAAACTCAATTAACTATGTTACTTCAAGAAAATGTTGGAATCGTAAAGAGGCAATTATTGATAATGCCTTCGTATACAGTTTAGCACTTGATGTAATGGAAGAAAACGAGGATCCAGAGCCAAATTCAGTTCATGAATGTCGGCAAAGAAATGACTGACTAAAATGGGAAAATGCGATTCAATCAGAGTTTGACTCATTAAACAAAAGGGATGTCTTCGGACCAACTGTTCAAACACCAGATGGTATAAAACCAGTTGGATACAAATGAGTGTTTGTACGAAAAAAAAGAGCATAATGAAATTGTGAGATATAAAGCTGGTCTTGTAGCTCAGGGATTCTCACAAAGACCTGGAGTAGATTTTGATGAAACATACGCTTCAGTTGTTGATGGAATAACATTTAGATACCTTGTGAGCCTAGTAGTGTGAGAAAAGCTAGATATGCGTCTTTTAGACGTAGTTGCTGCATATCTTTATGGCTCCTTGGATACTGATATTTATATGAAAGTTCACGAGGGATTCAATATGCCTGAAACTACAAATTAAACCCAAAGAAATCATATTCCATCAAATTGAAAAAGTCATTGTATGGACTTAAACAATCAAGGCGAATGTGGTATAACCGTCTCAGTGACTGTTTAATAGAAAAAAAGGTTATACTAATGATCCAATATGCCCATGCATCTTTATCAAGAAAAATGGATCAAATTTTGTCATTATTGCAATATATGTTGATGATCTCAATTTAATTGGAACTCCTCAAGAGATCCAAATTGCAGTTGAATATCTAAAGAAAAAATTTGAGATCAAAGATTTTAGAAAAAAAAAAAAAATTGTCTGAGATTACAAGTGGATCATGTTAATAGTGAGATTTTTATTCATCTATCCACATATACCCAAAAGGTATTAAAACAATTTTATATGGATAAATCTCACTCTTTGAGTACATGAATGGTGATCAGATCCCTTGATCCCAGTAAAGATCCATTTAGGCCAAGAGAAGAAAATGAAGAAATACTTGGCCCCGAGGTATCATATCTCAGCGCTATTGGCACATTAATGTACCTTGCAAATTGTACCAGGCCAGATATATCATTTTCAGCAAATTTACTGGCCAAGTTTAGCGTTTCCCCCACAAAGCGCTATTGGAATGGTATCAAACACATTTTTTGTTATCTGTAGGGGACTCATGACCTCGGCCTATTTTATTCGATTGAATCTCGAAATGAATTAATTGGTTATGCTGATGCTGGTTATCTGTCTCATCCACATAAAGCAAAATCTCAAATTGGCTATTTATTTACTTGTGGAGGTAATATATCATCAGAAATTAAGCCACAATATATGACTTAAACACATACTGAGGTTTTAGCAATTCACGAAGCCAGTCGTGAATGCGTTTGGTTGAGGTCTATGACTCACTATATTCAAAAAAAATTGTGGCTTAATTTCTGATGATATATTACCTTCCACAATATTATTTGAAGATAATGCAGCTTCTATGGCTCAATTAAAAAGAGGATATATTAAAGGCGATCGAACAAAACATATATCTCCGAAGCTCTTTTTCACCCACGATCTTCAAAAGAGTGGTGAAATTAATGTGCAACAAATTTGATCATCTGAAAAATTTTGCAGATTTATTTACGAAAGCGCTACTGACTGCAACACTCAGCAAATTGATACAAGAAATTGGAATGCGTCAGATGAAAGAAATCAAATAAAGTCCAAAAAAGAGGAGTGTATTAAAACATGAATGATGTACTCTTTTTCATTCACTATGATTTTTTGCCACGGTTAGTAGATAGGAAAAAAATCATCCAAGGGGGAGTGTTACGAGATATATATGTAGTAACACGAAGCAACTACGTAGTAGATATGTCTGTTTTTTATCTCCATCCTATTGAAATTTTCCTGTCTATAAATACTGCTGCGATCTTCTGCTTGCTTTAAACATTCTGCATAAGTATTATTATATTAATCTATACATATTTTCTTATATATAATGATACATATATAAATATACACTTACAACATGCATATATACGTAAATTATATGGGATCAGTTACGGTGTTGATGCCTAAAGAATCAGTAGGGTGCTGATTAAATCTGCACTATTAGATTTATTTAATTTAGCATATAAGGATCAATATTAAATAAGGTTAATTTCGTAATTTTGTTATATACTCTTGAAAGATAAAATAATTGGGATAGTGAAACAGCAAAGACGCAGCTACAGCATAACACAATATCATCCCACAAACATAAAACAACACAGTAGTGCTATGTGCTCTTGTTATTTAATAACAGTAAACCACAAAAATATTTATTTGTTTATAACTGCATTTGTAAATACAAAAAGAATTAATTCAAGGCTTAATAAGTTATAATCAATGAATTAAATTATAATTGTGACACAAAATATATATTATTACTGATTTTTTTGAAAAATACAATGATAATATCAAGAAAACACAATATTAACCGTGAAAAAGCACACCAATAATATTAAAAAAGTACAAATATTACTTGAAAAGAGCAAATAAAGTTTACAAAACAACACAATAATAGAAATAAAAAAAATTGAGAGTGTACACATCTGCTTTCGAATAAAAAATCCTATTGACAAATCAAAATGTATAATTAACTATCCAAACTAATATATTATATAGTCAATTTTAATTAAAAACAATAAAAGTCTGGTGTGCGTGTATATGTTAATGAAATTTTGGAATTTTGATTGATGTGATTTAGTGATATATGAATCCATAATATCTGATAATGCAATAAACATCAAACAAAAAAATAAAAATAAAAATAAATATAGAAGAGCATATTAATTATATAACGGGAGCACAATGATTTTATGACAAGAGCACAATATTAACTATGAAATAGCACAACAATAATATTTAAAAAGCACAAAGAGTACTTTAAAAGAACACAATAAGTTATATTTAAGCATATAAGTCACCACAGACAGATTTGGACATAACAGTGATTCATATTAATTTGGGAATGAACAACAAAAAAAAAAAAAAGAACAGAAAAAAAATTCAAAAACTAATATGAAAAACACAATGATTATATCACAATAACATAATAATTACATAACAAGAACACAATAACTATAGC